TACTCACTTAAAAATGGCCAAAAGACTTGAAGAGGCACATCATAAAGGAAGGTATCAAAATTTTCAATAAGCTATGAAAAAGTGCTCAACATCTTTGGTCACCAGTGATGGAAAATGCAAATAAAGGCCAAAATACGAGGCCATTAGAATGACTAAAAAGAGAAAAACTGACAACATCAAGTACTGGTGACGATGTAGAGCAAGTATAACTCTTATACACTGCTAGGGGAATATAAATCGATACAACCCCTTGGGAAAGTAACTTGCCTTTGTCTACTAAACCTAAGCATAAGTCAAATATATGGCTCAGCAATTCCATTCTGAGACATTACTCAAGAGAAATGAAAACATATGTTTACAAAAAGACATATGCAAGAATGTTCACAGCAACTTTACTCAAATAGGCCAAAACTGGAAAGAACCTAAATCTGTATCAAAGGGAGATGAAATAATCATACAATGGAATACTACTCAGCAATAAAAATAAACAAACTACTCATATATGCAACGACATGGATGCATCTCACAAATATTATACCAAAGCAATCCAGACACAAAATCATACATGGTTAACTCTTAGGGGGGTTAGGGTTTTGTTTTTGTTTTTGAGATGGTCTCACTCTGTTGACCAGGCTGAAGTGCAGTGGTGCCATCCTAGGTCACACGGCATCTGGTACCTCCCAGGCCAGAGGGATCCTTCTGCCTCAGCCTCCTGAATAGCTGGGACCACAGGTGTGTTACATCCAGGTTCTTGGCATTTTGAACAAATAATTGAACAAAGTACACAAACAAAGCAAGGAGAGAATGAAGCAAGGAAAACAGAAATTTACTGAAACAAAAGTACACTCCACACAGTAGGACTGGGCTTGAGCAGGCAGCTCAAGAGTGCTGGTTACAGAATTTTCTGGGGTTTAAATACCCTCTAGAGGTTTCTCATTGGTTACTTGGTGTATACCCTATGTAAATAAAGTAGTGGCCTGCAACCTGTCTGATTGGTTGTGGAAAACAACCAATCAGAGGCTGAAGTAAAGTTAGAAAGTTACACTCCTATGCATATGAAGACTAGGCCCATGGCCACTCTGAATGGGTGTGGGAGGGGACCAACCAGAGGTACTTTCAATTTCTCATCTGCCTTGCAGAAAAGGAGGAGGGGTTGCAAAGGGAGTAGCCTCTGGTCCTTTTGTTGGGTGTGGAAAGTTGGAGTTTTCCTTTTGATTTGGTTCTAGGATGTCAGCATGAGTTGGCCTTAGGCTCCCTGGCTCTAGACCCTATTCTCCTGCCTCAGGTGCATGCCATGATCCCCCACTAATTTTTAAATTTTTCTGTAGAGATGAGGTCTCACTATGTTGCCCAGACTGGTTTCAAACTCCTGGGCTCAAACGATTCTCCTAACTCAGCCTCCCAAAATGCTAGGGTTACAGGTGTAAGCCACCTCACCCAACCAGGGAGGTTAATTATTGACTAGGAGGGCACACGAGGAACTTTCTGAAATTCTGGAAATGTTCTATACTGCGATTTGAATAATGGTTATGTGGGTGTATACATGTGTAAAAATTCATGAGGTGGTAGACTTGATATTTGTGCACTTTATGTAATATAACTTTTTTTTTTTTTTGAGATGGTGTCTTGCTCTGTCTTCCCTGGCTGGAGTGCAGTGGTGCAATCACGACTCACTGCAGCCTTGACTTCCTGACTTCAGCCTCCCAAGTAGGTGGGGCTGTACGCCATCATGCCACTAAATGTTTGTATTTTTTGTAGAGATGGGGTTTTGCCATGTTGCTCAGGCTGGTCTCAAACTCCTGAGCTGAATCGATCTGCCTGGCTCTGCCTCCCACAGTGCTGGCATTACAGGTGTGAGCCACTGTACCCGGTCAATATGTTACAATTTGGATTTTTAAAATAGTAATTAACAAGAAAGGAGAGAAGCTATAGATGCTAAGGCTCCCGGGGCTCAGGTTCTCTTCCCCAAAGCTCAGGGAAGCCCAGGCAAACCTGAGACAGAGGAGGGTAGGTGCCTCTGATGAGCCCTCAGCCCTGTTCTACCCACCCTCCATTCACAAGAAATGACGAACGGCTCTGAAATCGGAGAAAGACTATTAAGTGTTCCATCTGGTGCATAGTGCTGGGCTATCTGATTCTAAGGGGCTTCTGCTTTTCATTGCCTCTAAGCTTGTTTACAACTTGGTAAGTTGCACAAAACTGAGGGTAAAGCAAAAGGTTCTTGTCCATAGAAATGCTCCTGAAGTTTGTCTGATGGAAGTGCCGTTGGCTATTGGCTTGTAGATACGGCCCGTATCTACATGCACCTTCACTTTCTGGCATACTGTAATGCATCTGCTCTTTGGACTCTCCTTTGAACTGGTTGTAACAGCTTCCTGGTTCCCTCATTACACAGCAAGCTAAAGTCTTTGACATATATTAGTTTTGTACTTGCATGAAAGTCATGATCTCTTTAACATTTTCTTACCCCAATTCCCTTTCTACCTCCTCTAGATGTTTCAATGTCTATTTCACACAGGGTCAGCAATTCTGCAGCTCCCCCACTGGGGACTACTCAGAGAAGCTGAGTTCCCTCCGCCTTGGGGGAAACAAGTTTTGTTTTGTTTTTGTTTTGTGAGATGGAGTCTCGCTCTGTCGCCCAGGCTGGAGTGCAGTGGTGTGATCTTGGCTCACTGCAACCTCTGCCTCCCTGGTTCAAGCAGTTCTCCTGTCCCAACCTCCCAAGTAGCTGGGATTACAGGCACATGCCACCACGTCCAGCTAATTTTTTGTATTTTTAGTAGAGACAGGGTTTCACTGTGTTAGCCAGGATGGTCTCAATCTCCTGACCTGGTGATCTGCCCACCTCGGCCTCCCAAAGTGCTGGGATTACAGGCATGAGCCACGGCGCCCAGCCACAAGATTTGCATATTTACAGACACTGACAGCCTCTCCCACACACCCTTTCTAACAGAGGAGTCCCTAGATTGTGATTTTGGTGAAGGCCGAAGACATGGGTCCTGCTAAATGTGTGTTGAAGTATTTCTGCCTGTCCCGATATCTTTGTCCCTCTAAACTGCCTGGTCCCAAGGTGGGCCACAGAGGGAAGGAAGGGAAGGGGCTTCGAGAGGAGGCCAAGAGGGAAGGTGACTCACCCAGCCCTTGGTTCAAAGAGCTGGGTGTGTGGAGACACAGGAAGTAGGACTGACCCCCCTGTTGAGGCAGAGCCTGGGGAGCCCTGGCGGGCTTAGGGAGGCCCGGAGACCCGAGCACCTTCCTGAATCATCAAAGGCAGCTTTTTACAAGGAGGGACACTGGGCCATTGCTGTGCCAGGCTGAGCACACAAAATCAATGGTGGCTGCTAATGAAGGGTCTGCTGCCACCAGGGGTGCTGGCCTGGGGTGCTGGGCTGCCACCAGGGTGCTGTCCTGGGCACTCCGGTCTCTCCAGCTCCAGAAACTGCTTCTTCCAAAACCCAGGCTAAGTCCAACATCCCTCCTCCCATCCCCACTTCTCCCAGCCCTACGTGCCCGTAAAGGGCCTCTCTGGAGACCAGAACAAAAGCCAGAGGCTTCAGAGGCAGTGAGAGGGCTTGAGGGCAGACCTGAGGGAGCACAGGGGGCCAAGGGGGTGACATTCAGGAGGCAGAGAGGCAGAGGCAGAGAGTAGCTGTGGATGGGAACAGGAGGTCGCAGCCCTGCCCCCACACGTGTCCTGCTTCCCAGAGCCTAGAACTCAGAAGGAAACCCCTGGAGACTTTCACCTGCTTTGTCCTTTTGGCCAAACAGTAATTGGAAGGAGCAGCTACAAGAGGCCAGGACCTCCTGGGCTGAGGCTGCTCTCAGAGGATAGAGGGAAAAGGAGAGACCAAGGCTAGGGACAGGGCCTGTCCCCCTCCCCTAAAACTGCCACATAAGGGTCATTCAGCTGGACACAGTAGCTCAGGCCTCAGCATTTTGGGAGACCAAGGCAGGAGGATCACTTGAGCCCAGGAGTTCAAGACCAGCCTGGGCAACATGGTGAAACCCTGTCTCTACAAAAAAAATGCACACCAAAATTAGCCAGGCATGGTGGCACACACTTGTAGTCCCAACCAGCTGGAAGCTGAGGTGGGAGGATTGCTGGAGCCCAGTTTAAGACTGCAGTGAGCCGTGATCCCACCACGGCACTCCAGCCTAAGCAACACTCTGTCTCAAAACAATAAATAAAAGAGCGGACACTGATGAAGACATAGCTAGTAAGTGATGGAGACAGGATTCAGACTCAAGTAGCCAGCCTGGCCTAGTTTCTGATTTCTGTCATTTGAGAATGTGGGGACCCCTGTCGTCACTGAATGTTCCACAGGTGTTTACGCAGGACCCACAAGTGTTTGGCCTTCACCAAGATCACAGTCTAGGGACTCCTGTGCTAGGAACGGTGTGGGGGAGAGGGGAGAGGTTTCTCACATCGACTTTGTCTCACATTGTGTCTATAAACATGCAAAACTTGTTTCTCCCAAGCAACCTAGGGAGAGTTGAAAATCTTTGCTGTCTCAAGCATGGCTCTTGCTCAGCCTCAGCCTCACCCTAATCCTGAGGGAGGTATTCGTATTGCTTTTAGAGAGGACAAAATGAGGACCTTGCTCAAGGTCTCACAGCAAGGAGGAGGCAAACCCGGGATTTGAACCCCAGGCACGATGGGGGCCTTTCAAACCCCAGGGCCACGCAATAACCACATCTGGCCCGGCAGTAGGGAGGTGGTTTGAGATCAAAGGTGGGGGGCAGTTCTGTCGACACATCAAGCCGCCTCCCCCTCGCCCCCCAACTGGTTTGCACACTTGTCCAGGGAGGGTTCAAGAAGTTTACGAGCTCTTGGAAGAGGCTGCGGGTTGGGAAGCGACAAGCTAACTAACCCTCCCGGGTGTGGACAAGGGTCACGACCACGGGATGGGGAGAGCTGGACGGGTCCGGGAGCGGAGGGGCCTTTCTGCAGCGTCTGGGAGCCAGGTGGGCGGGGCGGCTTCCGCGGTCTCCATGGCGACGCGAGGGCCGCGGGGAGAGGCCTCTGCGAATCGATCTCGCTCTACTCACACTCAATCCCGAGTCGAAATGGATTTTTTTAATGCGTCTATTAGCTGCTTTGAAAATGCAAATCGAGTTCAGGAGAGACATCAGCCACCGTAAGAAAACAAGGTGACGGCCAAGACCTTGCGGTGGGGGGAAGGGAACACCCAGCGCAAGGTACCCGCAACCAAGCCTGAGCCTAGCCTTGGTGAGGGGAAGAGAGGGTGGCCTCTCTCCAGGGCCTTTACGCCTCGCCAGTCCCCAGGGTTCGCGGATTTAGCTGGAGTTGTGCGCCAGCTCTTCTACAAAGTTGAGCAACCTGCAGCTCACTTCCCCTGCGGGACACAATCCCGGAAGGCTTCGTGAAGGAGGCAAGATTCTAAGGGGCCTTTGAAGACGTACACTCAGCAAATCCTGGACTCAGGTGAAAAATACGACCTAGTGAGCTTTTGCCCAGGGCGTTACGAGTTGGGATGGGTGGGGCTGGGGAGTTGGGCTGGGGAGTTGGGCTGGCCTCTCAGTCACGTGTCAATTGAGGCTAAGGAGGGCTCTGGAGGAGGTCGGGGATGGGAGGAAGAGCTGGGGTTGGGGGCTTAGGTACACAATTACTTTCTCTGTTGTCATCGTGTCTGGAGACTTCTTTGCATATGCAAATAAGTGCATCCTCCCACAATTACACAATCAGGAGCAAATTACCTTCTTGCTGTTTACTTTCAGCATCCTTAATTAATCCAGTTATTAGACGATTAATGAAGCTTGTTTGGTGAGAAATTCATAGCACGAATGGACAAGGGGCTGTGTATGTGTAAGGTGTGGGAGCAGGGAGGTACTGCTTTTACCCAGAAATAGAGACAGTCCCAGGTTTCCCCTCAGCACTCTCTCCTTCTCAACCTCACTCGCCCGTGTCCTCCCCAATTTGTTGCACACACCCCAGCCCCACCCCACCTTTCCCCATCCCACCATTCCCAGCTTCCTCTTACAGCTCATCACCTCCTCCATGAAGCCTCTGTGGATGGGAAGGCAGCCCTTAGTGTTCTCCAGAGCCCCTTGAGGGGGGACTAGAGTCCCAAGCAAGACCAGAGGCCTAGGGTCAGCCCCAGGCCTCCTATTGCCTTTAGGGTCAATTCCAGGTCCCCTAACTCCCACTCCTTCCCATCCACTGCTCTCCCCAGACTGTAGACAGGCAGTGCTGCAAATCAGCCCTCACCCTCGCATTCAAAAGGAACCTCCCACAGCCCATGGGCCAAAGGAGTGTGGGAGGTTCCCTCTGTGGTTGTGAAACCACCAGGCCCAGCTGGAGGGATCACTAAGATTATATACATTTTTTTTTTTTTTTTTTTTTTTTTTTTTTTTTTTTTTGAGACGGAGTTTCGCTCATGTTACCCAGGCTGGAGTGCAATGGCGCGATCTCGGCTCACCGCAACCTCCGCCTCCTGGGTTCAGGCAATTCTCCTGCCTCAGCCTCCTGAGTAGCTGGGATTACAGGCACGTGCCACCATGCCCAGCTAATTTTTTGTAGTTTTTTAGTAGAGACGGGGTTTCACCATGTTGACCAGGATGGTCTCGATCTCTTGACCTTGTGATCCACCCGCCTCGGCCTCCCAAAGTGCTGGGATTACAGGCTTGAGCCACCGCGCCCGGCTGATTATATACATTTTTAATTCTAGCAGTGATGGTCTGAGCCTGCACATTCTCATGCTAGCAGCAGTCCAGCATTTCTGGGCACCCCAGGACAGTGTTCATGTCCCACAGATCCATCCTTGGGTCATTGTAATCTGACTTTTTCTATCTACCTGCTTTTAAGATCTTTTGAGGTTTCTGCAGTTTCTTTTTTTTTATGGTCCACTGGGAGGCAATCTGCAGTTTCACTACGATGTTTGTAGGTCTGGATTTCTTCTCATTTACTCTGCTTAGAATTCTTTATATTTCCTTCCCATAATTTATCATTTCAGAAAAATTTCTAATCAACACATTGTTAAATACTGCCTTTCCCATCCTCTCAGTGATCTCCTTTGGAATTCCTAGATGACATCTGTTAAATTCCTCTTTCTGTATTCCATATTTTTATTCCTGTTGTTCATATTATTCTCTCTGTGCTGCATTATAGCAGTGATTTCTTCATATTTGTCTTCCAGTTCACTAATTATCTCTTCGGCTATATCTAATATGCTATATAACCCATCTATTGGGTTTTAAATTGCAACAGTATCATTTTCATTTCTGAGTCTATTTGTTCGTTTTCATAATTTGCCTGGTTATCCTGATAGCATCTTTAACTATTTAAACATTTTAAACATGTTACTTAAAAAAGAAATATTCTGGGCCAGATGTGATTGGCTCATGCCTATAATACCAGCACTTTGGGTACTTAAGGCCAGGAGCTTGAGACTACCAACATAGTGAGACATAGTGAGACCCTGTCTCTACAAAAAAGAAAAAAATAGCCAAGCATGGTGATGTGAGCCTGTCATCCTAACTGCTCAGGAAGCTGAGGAAAGAGGATCACTTGAGCCTAGAAGGTAGAGGCTGCAGTGAGCCAAGATCACATCACCATTGCACTCCAGCCTGGGTGACAGATTGGAGCCCTTAGCTCTAAAAAATTCACACCACACACACACACACACACACACACACACACACACACACACACACACAGAGGATCTGATTATTCCAATATCTTAAGTCTTGAAGGTCTACTTCTGCCATTTGTGGTTTTTACTGACTCACTTGTGATCTGTTGTTTCCCTGTATGCTTTGTAATTCTGTATTGTAAACTCGAGCTTAGCTGGTCTCTATCCATGGGAATCTTGTTTAGCAAAAGTTGAAGGTCTGTCCCTCCCAAGAGAATTTGCTTTTGCTTCTGCCGGCCAGGTGGTTAGGTGCTACCAACATACTTGGAGTTAGTTCCACCACCTGGCATTTCCTGGAACACACATAATGCAAATATTTACGCAAACCCCTGTGTGGTCAGGCTTGTGATTACAAAATTTAATTTTTTTTTTTCCTACAAAGAGCACTTGCCAAAATAGACAAATGTTCTTATCACTTCCCTTTGCCTCTGAATGGATGTTTTTCTCTATCCTTCCACAAAAAGTGTAGCCTTTTGAGAGTCTTGGTTTTTTTATGGAGCTCTCGATTACAACTCCCCACCGCCCTAGGTCCACAGCCCTTCTTCCCTGCGGGGCCTTTTACAACCAAGCCTCTAGGCCTGTGGTTCACCACCTGGACAGTTTTGTCCCCGGGAGACATTTGGCAAAGTCTGGCAACATTTCTGGTTGTCACACTAGAGGAGGAAAGTGCTACTGGCATCTGGTGGGTTGAGGCCAGGGGTGCAGCTAGACATCCCCCAACGCATGGGACAACCCCTCGAAACAAAGAATCATCAGGCTCAAAACGCCGTCACGCTGCTCTTGAGAAACCTGATTGGGCTCTTGCAGAAGCATGATCTGCAAACCACCTGAGGCCTCCCAGCAGCTTCCGAGTCCCCCACACTCAGGCTCCCAGCAGCCTCTTTATGTTTGACACCCTAAAGGTTTTCCTTGTATTCATTCATTTATTCATTTTACAAACCCAGCCATGTACTGAAAAAGAATGGTTGTTTCATTTTATGAAGCGCTTCTGGGTGTTCTGTGGTGGCGATTCTTCAAGGCATCCGCCGTCCCTCGTGCCTGCGTCCTCTGCTCTAATGTTTACTGCTCCAGCTCACCTCTCTCTGCCTGGTAACCGCCTTCTCGATTTCATCCCCTCTCCCTGTACCAGTGTGCAGCGGGAAGCCCAGAGCATGTGCTCCTGAAGGTCTGGGAGACAGTGAGCAGGGTCTTGAGAGTGTGTGAGCTGCCTGCCGGCAGCAGTTGCTCTTGAGGCTCACAAACCCAGAAATCCCACCCTCCTTGTGGCCCGGGCCTGATTCCACAACCTCCTGCCTCTCCAGATCTCCAGGTCTCTTCACCTCCCCGGCTCACAGCCTCAGGGTGTCCTCTCCAGCACCCTGCTCCCCACCTGTGGCCCTAGACCCAAGCGATGCCTGCAGTAGGAATACTCATTGCTTCTCGCGGAGTCTGTGTCAGCCTGGTTCACTCCAGCCCACACAGGTGCTCAGTACTGACTTGTTGAATGAATAAATGGATGATTGAATAAATGAATGAATGAATGAGGACTGGCTCTGGGCCCAGGCAAGGCAGTCCTAATAACTGAAAATACATTTCCGGAGTCTGGTTATTCAAGTCAAAGTGACACCATGTTGGGACAGCCACAGTTCAGTCTAACTGCGCATTTAGGGAAAAGCATTTCCTTAATGCTTCGAGGACACAGCCGGGACAGAGACGCTCCCAATTTGCATGACTAAACATCCCCCGGGCAAACTGCAGCATCTGCACTGCGATTTGTGGTGACTTTTCAGTTGCCTCCTCTGCAAACAAATGGGGGTGGGCTCTGGCTTGCTTGTGTGTAAAGGGCCCCACCTGGAGTGAAGAAAAAGCAAACAGAATCTGTCCCAAAGTAGTTCGTTCTGCACCTCCAGAAACAAACTTTCAGCAACCCAGCTGGCCTCTCTCCATAAAACAAAGCAAGGTCTCTGTCCTCCTAATGGTGCCTAGGATTTCAGGCATTTGCTCCATTTATTCATTCATTTAACAAATATTTCTAGGACATCTTCCATGTGCCAGGCACAGTTTCAGGATTCGGAAGTTCAGTAGAAGACGGGCCAGGCGCAGTGGCTCATGCTTGTAATCCCAGCACTTTGGGAGGCTCAGGCGGAAGGATCACCTGAGGTCAGGAGTTAGAGACCAGCCTGGCCAACATGGTGAAACCTCGTCTCTACTAAAAATACAAAAAATTACCCAGGTGTGGTGGTGGGCGCCTGTAATCCCAGCCACTCAGGCGGCTGCGGCAGGAAAAATGCTTGAACCCAGGAGGCGGAGGTTGCAGTGAGCCAAGATGGCGCTCCAACCTGGGCAACAAAGCAAGATTCTAAAAAAAAAAAAAAAAAAAAAAGACAGAAACGAGCAAAGTTCTTACCAGCGCAGCTCTTCTGTTCTGCGACACAGTAGCTACTGTCAGGCAGCAATGAACTCTAGGAGGAAAGATGAAGCGGCAGGTGCATCCTGCAGGGATACAGGGTGGGTGCTGTCTAACGTGGGCCAGTCAGGAAACTCCTCTCTGTGAAGGCAACTTAGCCCAGCAGAGCGCGCCAGAATTAGGGGGAAGAGTATTCCCTGTTGAAGAAATAGCAGCTGAGTGTTTGGGAAGAGTGAGGAGGCCCAAGTGACTGGAGTGAGACAGGGAAGGAGATGAGGCTGGAGAAACGCCCGGGGACTTGGACCTGCAGAGTCTCACAGGCTGGGCCAGGGTTTGGGGTTTCCTTAAAGAGTGATGGGAAGCTGTGGAGGGTTCTCCCTTCAGCAGGGGTGTGGAAGGATCCACGGACATTTCACAGGATCCCTCTGGCTGCTGTGTGGGGGTCTGACTGGGGGCCAAGAGCTGAAGCGGGGATCCGCGGTGGGGGCCCCTCAGAACCCAGGCTAAGGATGCGGGGATGGGACCATGTGCAGAGAAGCTGCTGGATTCTGGAGGATGTTAAGGCAAGGGCAGCTGCAGACACACTGATGAAGAGGGTGAGGAGGTGGGAGGAGCCAAGGTTGGCCCCAGGGTTCTGTCCATGAGGGTGGAGGGTCCTTTTACTGAGAGTAAGAGGGGAGGAGCAGCAAGTGCAGGGGGTGTCGGGTCACCTAGAAGTGCCTGGCAGAGCTGGGGTAGGGAGTGGGCCACACAGGTCAAGTTCAGGTGCGAGGGCAGGGCTGGAGAAACACACTTAAGAATTGGAACCACAGGACCTGATGGGATCCCCCAGGGAGCAAGCGCAGGAGAAGCAAAGGATTCTGTGGTCTGAACCCAGAGATGCGGACACCTCACAGGTCACCATAGGTGCGTGTCAGGCCTCATGCTGCTTAAAGCTCCCCGGCGGCCTTCCCGTGGATGCCTAGGGCCCAGCCTCTCCACCCTCACCTCCCTCCACCCTCCACCCCAATCACTCTGGGCTGCCTCACGGGCTTCCTTCAGTTTCCTAAACTTGCCAGAGCAGACCCCTTCCCACCCCAGAGCCTTTCACATGCTATCTCCTTTCCCTAAAACACCTTCTCCCACTCTTTCCCTGACTTCTTCCTTTTTCTTTGGGTCTCATCTTAAGTGCTGCCTCCTCAGATGGGCTTCCCTGACTCCCCATTCTAAAGCAATCACACACGTGCATGAGCGAGCGCACGCACACACACACACACACACACACACCCCATTATTTTCCCTCAAGAGACCTTGTTCATGTCTTTCAAAGCACTTATTACAAACTGTGATTATCTGTATATGAGTATGTTCATTTGAGAAATGTCTGTCCCTCCTCTTCCCCTCTTGACCATAAGCTTCGTGAGACAACGAACATTAGCTGTTTTCACCACTGTGACAGTGAGCTATTTGTTGAATGAGTGACTGGGGAACCAATACCAACACTGGTTGATCATGTGCTATGTTCTCGATACTGTGCCAAACGTTTACATACCCAGCTGTAATAGCCACCATCACTGCTCGCCAATAGCTCCAGTTCTCCTCTCCTAGGCACATAGTAATACATATCCTCATCCCCCTTGAGATGTGGCTGCAGGACTTGCTTTGACAATGAAACATGAGAGAAAGGACATCTGTCGTTTTCAGGTGGAAGCACGGAAGAGCCAGCGTGCAGTTCTCTATGTTCTCTTCCCCTGCCAGGGAAGCCTTGTGTGAAGGTTGGAGGAGCCTGCGCCATCTGCAGTTCCTGAGTCACTATAATGAGCAGATCCTCCTCCCCGGACCCACACAGATAAATAGTGTGAGTGAGGAAAAACAATCTTGTGGTTTTAAGCCACTGAGGATTTGTGACTGTCACACACATAACCCAGCCCACAGTGCATTCATTTAATTCTTCCAGCAAACCTGTGACATGCTCTCTGTACCCACTGCTCAGAACCATTCAATTAACACATATTGAGTCCCCACTAGAAGGTGGCACTGCCCCCACAAAGAGAAATAAGATCTGGCCCCCAAGAAGCTTATGGTCTGGAATGCAGAAATAGCCAAGAAAGGACAGTAAAATGTAGTGTAGTGGAGGTACAGCAAAAGGAGAATATTTTTCCAAAAAATGTTACTCTTATTATTTTAGAGACAGGGTCTCACTATATTGTCCAGGCTGGTCTCAGACTCTTCGCCTCAAGCAGTCCTCCTACCCTGACCTCCTGAGTAGCTAGGACTATAGTCTCGTGCCACTGATCTTGACCTAATGATGCCCATTGTCCAAGCAGGTAGAGGTGGAGGTACCAGAAGGGTACCTGGCACAGGGATCAGCCTACACAAAGCTCAACACTGGTGGAGAATCAGTGGCACACAGGTACATTAGTTCAAGTAGATGCTAAGCTGCTCTTACAGACTCTCCAAAATATAATGGCTTCAACCAGTTAGAAGTTGAGTTCTTCCACACATGACAACCCAGAGCTTGGGACTTCTAGGCTATAGGGTGGCTCTGCCATCCCTTAAACCTGACTTCAGTCTCTGAGTTCAAGGTGGCTACTCCCACTCCTGCCATCACATCTGCATTCCAGTAGGAAGGGAGAGGAAAGGGTTGAAAGGAATACATGCCCATTCCTTTTAAAGATATGACCTAGAAGCACTAGTCTTCACTCTCCCATTCTGGCAGGTCCACCATCCAGTCATCCACGCCAGCACTGCCCCACTCCACCTGCTCAGTTACCCTCTACAGCCAACTGAGTCCCTCTTCCCCAGGGCCCCATCTCTCACCAGGCCCACAGCACTGGCCTCCTAACAGGTCTCCCAGCCTCCAGGCCAGACCCTTCCAACCCACCACCCACAGAGAGGCTGTCCCACTTCACAGCTCCAACCAGGTCACTCCCGTCTTAGAAGAAAGCTCAGGCCACTGGGTGTAGCCCACAGGCCCCCTCCCCTCGACCTTGCCTGGCTCCTCAGCCTCATCTCTCAGCCCTGGAGTGCTCATCTTGGTCTTCCCAGTATCTCTACTGGGTCTCTCTTCCCAAATACACTGTTGATCATCTCTGTGCTTTGCTCATCTCTGAAATACCCTTCCCCGTCTCCATTCCACCAGACAGACATTTAGGGATCAGCTCAGGTTAACTCCCTCAGGAAGGGGACTCAGAGACCCTCTTCTGAGCTCCTGGTGTGTGGCCATTCTCCTCTTTCTCAAACTGTATAATTGTTTCTTCAAGCTAGTTGCTCCACGTCTCCAAGAACTGCAGTATATTCGGGCTCACAGTAGTGTTTCAAAAACAATTGAATGGAGAAATGAATGGTGGAGGCAGAAGCCAACCAGAGTGTCTTAGGGAGGCAGTGTGGAGTGGAGGCTAAAAATGAGGGCTGGAGCTAGACTGCCTGGGTTCAAATCCCAGCTCCACCACCGCCTGCTGTGTGCACTTGAGCAAGATATATAAACTCTTTGAGCCCCAGTGTCTCTGTCTGTAAAATGGGAACAAAAAGAGTACTTCCCCATTAATTGTTGTAAAGATTAAACAGTTCAACAAAGTAAAACTTAAAATAGTGCCTGGCACTGCATTAGCCCTTCTTGTTATTAGACTGGGGCAGTGAGAAAGCTCAGGTGAAGCCAAGCAGGGGAGTGGCCTGATGGGATCTGTGTCCCAGAAAGACAGGGGGACACGCCCACTGCCAACCGAAATGAAGGGATGGGGATGTCGTAGTCAGACTGGGCTGCTGTAACAGATGACCACAGACTGGGTGGCATATAAACAACAGAAATTTCCTTCTCGCAATTTTGGAGGAGAGTATTCTAAAATCAGGGTGCCAGCATGGCTGGGCTCTGGTGAGGGCCGACAGCCGCCTTTGGTTGTATCCTCAATGGCAGAGAGCAGAGGAGGAAGCAGGCTCTCTCAGGACACTTACAGGGGCACGAATCCCATTCCTGAGGGCTCTGCCCTTGGGACCTCACCTAATCCTAACCACCTCCCAAAGCCCCACCTCCTAATAGCACCACTTTCGGGGGATAAGGTTTTAACATATGAATTCAGGGAGGACACAGAGATTCAGCCTGTAACAAGGGACCGGATTTACCTTCTTGTCTGAAACAACCAAAAAAAAAAAAAAAAAAAAAAAAAAAAAGATAAAATACATGGAATCGTGGCTCTCAGGACATTAGACATTAAGCAGTGAATGACAGCGGTCCCTAAGAGATGGGAAACAGATGAGGCGAGACTAGGTTGTCCCACTTAGTGCACAGGGAGAGGGGACCCAGGCAGAGCAGACTGAGCTGGAGCTCAGGGAGGCCGAGAGGGCTAGAGATTACAGGCCAGAGTGCAGCAAGGAGAGGCTGCAAGAGAGCGAGCCCCTGGGCCCTCCTGGAGCTCTCAGCTGAATACTGCTCCAGGCATCGGGTTACAGGGAGGAAACTGAGGCTGATTAGAGAGAGCGACCCCTGGAGCTCACACATGATCCACCAGCCAGAGTGGAAAAACCAGCATCATTCACAGGGCACAGGCTTGAGAACCCACAAAGATTTGCCTGGGAAGTGGGGCACAATTAGCCCTGGACGAGATGCTGCTCTGGTCCTGTGCAACAGTTTAAAAGCAAGATCTGAAAGAATCAAACCAT